GTGTTTTGTTTTTCCAAGGACACATACTACTGCTGGCTGGCCTTGTGAAACAAGAAATCTTACAGGTTGTAATGTCGCTGCTCCAACCTCTTCCTTGTGGTGAAAGGCATCGTGAGCAGGATTGCATTCATCCCCTAGCAATCACCTGAGTCTCCTGTCCTTACTGACTTTAATGTGCCAACACTACTCAAGCATAACATGCATAGGAACACTTTTGTGCTGAGCCAGTGAGGCGTGGTGCCACCTTGGAATGGGTAAATATGGTTGTTCAGGCTGATTGGAGAGAACATTCTCTATTGGTGCTCCTCAATTGGTGCCTGACACTTTTTTTTCTTTTTCCTTTTCTTTTTCTGTTTCTCCTGTTTGATAATTTTATATGCTTTGCATTCCACGTTTTATTCTTGCAATATATGTCTCTTTACGTTTTGTGATTTTTAAAGTGTTTATTTAATATTCTCTCATTATGTTTTTAACTTCTGTAAAATGCCCAGAATAGTGAGTGCATCGTACTAATAGGGTGGAAAATAAATTTAATAAACAAACAAAATCTTTTTTTTCTTTCTTTTTTCTTTCTTTTTTTTTTGCTTTCTCCAGTGCTGCTCAGCCTCAAACTTGACTCCCCATTTGGAGACCTGGAGAAACACTGCCATTCTCTGAAATTTCAGCCAGTGTTCTAGGTGTGGCAACTCTGTTCACTACACTTTCACCATATAGTAAATACCAGGGACATGAAAGATTGCCTAGTTGTACAAATTCCATGGAGCAGGTGTTATCACTGAACAAGTCTTATTTACCATATAACTTACCTCTAAAGGCCATCAGAACAGTGCTCATGTTGGTATCATTGGCCCATACAAGAAGTGAACATATGAGAAGGCAAGTGCATAAAGTATTTTGTTTAGGACTGGAGGTCTGAAAAACTCACTAAAATTGTATAATGCAGCAAGCAAATTTATGGGTTTACTGTTTCTTCTTTTGAGTTGTATATGAAACATCCCTTTGTATATCTCTAAAGAAAAATGGGCTAGTTTGATTCTGTGGTAAATCCTTTGTCTTCTGAGAGGCAGAAAATAGACAGTAGCCCTTATATTATCCCAGTATAGAAAGCACAAGCTAGACTCTCAATTTCTGCCAAAACAAATGGTCTAACGGTTGGCATGCTTCATCAAAGTGAGGAGTCCACAGATGCTTTCCTACAAGAATACTCCTTTCATTAGATTTTGAGGACAATGTGTCCTTTTCTTAACTCTTAGCTGCATCTTAATTGGTAAGTAAATGAATAAAAGATGTGCTTATTACTACTTAATTGATTTGTTTGCTTTCATTGCAACCCTTGATAAATTTTGGAGTAGCAAATAAAAGCTGCCATTCTTTCAGTTTAATACAGCCTCTGGAATAATTTATCTGCAGCAGTAATCAAAACCTGACTCCATTTAAGAATCTGCTTTGCTAACCTTATCCTGGGAAGTGAGGAAAGCAAAATGGTGTTTTCACACACCTGCTTAGAGGGTTTATTTTCCCATTGTTTGTTACAGGCTGTAGAGAGAACTCCTATAAAACTGGGCACCTTTATTGTTTACTTGTTTGGTTTATATCCTTCTTCTTAACAACAACATCATCAACAACAACAACATAATCAAAGACTGGTAAAACTAAGAGGATACAATATTCTTTACCATTCTGTGTAGTACAACTAATTTTGGAGGGAAGTTCTATTTGGAGGATTGTAGGGAAATTTTGGGGGAAATTGTAGAAAAGGACTACGGGATTTTGAGATGTGTTGCTTACTGCAAAACTTTGGGAAGGGGTCTGTACACAATGCCTAAGTTGCATGTGAGGGCAACTGTTACAAGATCTACAGACTTGCATATATATCCCATTTATTCAGGATTTTGTTTTATTACATTAAGTTTCTGTTCAGAAGTCCCCAGGGGTGGAACACTGGCCAGGTTGTTCCAGTTCAGATTTATCAATAAGATGTGAATGGTCAAATGATTCCTGATAACTTTGATACTCATTGAAATGCTTGTTATAATTCCAGTTTAAGACATTTGGCAGGAAGGAGGGAGGGGGGGGGAGAGAGAGAGAGAGAGAGAGAGAGAGAGATGTGCCATGTATGGAAACACTCTTCAGAACTGCTGCTGCTTTCTTTTGCTAAAAACAACAGCTGTGTACAAATTGCTGTTTCAAACTAGGCAGCCTACTTGTGGACATAGAAATTGGTGGCACCATTTCAGTGAATGTCCACATGGTAAGAAGAAATTATCCAACTAATTCACAGAAGTGGGGCTCAACATTAGCAGTGATTATAGCATAGGTTTATTATTAATAATTGTACAATTCTGACCTATGGTGATGCTTTTCACAATTTTCTTGGTAGAGACTACTCAGAAGTAGTTTACCATTCTTTTCTTCTGAGGGTATCCTGGGACTGTGTACCATACTGTTGGGCTTTTCTAGGATGCACAGTGGATAACTGGACTCTTAGCCTCTGGTTCCAAAATCAGATATCTAACTCACTGAGCTGGTATGACCTGTAATACTGGGTATGATCTCTAAAGCCCATTATACTTCCTCTTCAGTGCTCTCTACTGGTGTAATTTTAGATCACTGTGGTGATGGCAAGGAAGATGCTGCAGACAAAATTGCAGGAGACTGCTCATATTTGTATGGTGTATTTGACACAGGTCGTACTAATAAAACTTTGGCCCTTGTTTGTCTGTTGATAATGGATGGGTTCTAGTTTCTGCAGCCTAAGGATGTGAACTGGGTCTTTGGAGAAATGTGTTCAATCCTTACTTTTCCTGGCTTATAAATTTACCCACTTATTCAGTAACTAAAGGGAGTGATGAATGCATCTTAAAGCAAAGCAAGGTTCTGTCCTGCATAAAGGAGGCACTTGTTAGACTGCTTCTGAAAAAAAAAAGCTTCCTGGAATTTTCCTGAATTGGGTAATTACCAGCCAGTCTCCAATATTCCATTCTTGGACAATATTGTAGCATGCGATAGCCTATCAGCTCAAAATATTTCTGTACAAAATGTCTTACATAGTTCCAATTGATCTAGTTCAGATAATGGGACAGGGACAGCTTTGGTCATGTTGTGACAGGGACATCTTTGGCTTGCCTGTGTTGGGAACTAGACAGGGAGTTGGTGCTCTGTACGTTCTGTTGGAGCTCATGATAACTTTTGATGCTCTTGACCATTGAATTCTTATGGGCCATCTCTCCAGGATGGATCTTGGAAGCATTGTCTTAAGTGGTTCCCATCCTTCCAGTGTGTGTATGTGTGTGTGTGTGTGTGTGGGGTTGGTCCCACCAGAATATGGATAACACCCAAATCTATTTATCATTTCCATCTAAATTCAAAATCTATTAGTATCTGTTGTCAATAGTTACTTGAATGAGTCTGAACAAATTAAATCTTAATCCAGAGCTGTTCTTGGTCAGTGAAAAGACGTATCAGAGAACAGAGATTCAACCTTTGCTTGATGGCCTTGCACTCAACATAAAATATCAGGATTGTAGTTTGGGTATGTACCTGGATTCATCTCCTTGCCAATGACCAGGAGTGTGTTTGCACAATTATAACTATTGTATCAGGTGTACCCATTCCTGGAAATGTGTAATCTGGGCACAAGCCTTAGTTATATACACTTGGTTTACTGTCATGCAGTCTATGTGGGGCTGTATTTAGAAAGTGCTCTGAAATTTGAATTTCAGATATTGTGGCAGATGGTTGCTGATTATAAGGAAATCCAACATACATGTTGTTAAATAACCTGGTAATGACACAAGAGTTCTTTATGCTTCCTGAATAGTCTCTCTAATTTGGGGCAATTTGCACAATTTGTGCCATTTTTGAATGACAGAATTTTGCCCCCAAATCTTTACTTGCTCTGCCCCTTTCCCATCTTTGTTATTGCTGCTGTTATTCTTCATCTAGCAGATGTTAGCCATAAGAGTGGTTCTGCTGGTAGATGGCTTTATGGTGAGCCTCTAAAATCAGCAAACAGAAAAGGGTTCTACTGGCAGAAGGACATGCATAGAAGGGTATTCCTGATGGCATGAGAAGCTCTGAACTAAATTTTTACAACTGCCACATCTTTGAATTAGAATATCATTGAGGGTCTGTGGTAGTAAAAACAACAAAAAGTTAGATTTAGCACACATATGAAGGCATGCACTTTTGTAAACCGGAGTTCATTATATGAGATAGTAATCCTTCTTTGATTCTGACTGGCTTCTTTGGAATTTTGGTCCTGTCATAGTTTTGGTCTATTCTCTGTTCTCGTATTGGTCATATCCCCATCTAGTCATATACATGTTTTCTGCCAGGAAGCATGTTGTGACTTGAAATGATGTCACAGTGCTGCATCACCAATCAGACATGAATGTTTGATGTTTGTGAGGACGGTAGCAGGGGGGTGGGTTCTGTGGGTAAGTAAATCATTCTGAAAATTGGAAGGGATTAATCAGAAACAAGATTTTGACTTGGTTCTCTTCTAGTAAAATGGGTGCTTGTTGCCCAAGCTGAAGTTTTTCCTGAGGTAATATTTTGGGAGCAAACGCTTTCATTTTCTGATATAACATAACAGAATTTGAAAACATTCCTGTCCATTGTTGAATCTTCTTTGTAGTCATCAACCTGTGTAGATGACAGCAACATGTTACACTACAGAGGGAAAGAACCAATGACATTACCGCCACCTCTTTTTCATGCAAAGATTTTGTTATGGACTAATCTCTCATTTTTCTCCTTCTTGCTGTTTTATCCATACAGTGCACAGCAGAAGTACCTTGTGTAAATTTATTGGCAATCAGATAGGAAAACCTTGCAGAAGATATGCCCAGTTGTAATATTTTGGCTAACCCACACAAAACACCAGCAGCCACTATCACCTCAACAACAGGATGGTGTAATTTGCAAAGGAATACAGTGGTTTGAATTACTCATTTCTGCATGAAGATTTTATCTTATTTATTTTATTTGTCTTCCAGGGAATTTGGCCGTTGGAAAGTAAACAACTTAGCTGTTGAGAGAAAGAATTTCCTTGGCTCTCCACTGCCTCTCGCCCCTGAGTTTTTCCGAAACATAAGACTACTAGGACGTAGGCCAACTCTTCAGCAAATCACAGAAAACCTTATCAAGAAATATGGGACACATTTCCTACTATCAGCTACTCTGGGAGGTAAGAGTTATGGAGCAGCTTAATAAGCATTTAAGAAAGGATATGTGTCTTAACTGGAGGGCTGATCTACTCAGAGCTTCATCAATCAGATTTGAAGTGTATTCAAGAAAAATCAAAACATTTGTATAGCTTTTGCAAAATACTGTGATGGTTAGTGGATCTATAAGATAAGCTAAAGAAAAGCTTAGCAAAACTTTCTTATCTGTTATAGGAATTCCCAAAGCTACGACAAAGGTGCCCCAGAGGCCATATCCACAGGTTCTTGTGCAGTCCCAGACTGGAAGCAAAAACTGAAAGTGGAGCTGTGGATTCTGTATTTTCTTCTCTTTATCCCTTCTAGAAGGCAGCAGGGCAGATAAACAAATGCAAAGCAGGCAGAAGCTTCATTGTCTGCTTCCCCCACATCTGGAGAAGGGGAATTAGTTTACCAGCTAAAAATGATTATGAAGTACCTCATAACTGGAATGTGACAAGTCAGCAGGGTGAAAAGTTCTTTGCTGGCCTAATGCCTGTTTACAGCTGTGCTTTGATGACTATTCATAAACCTATGCTAAGAACAAGTATATAACCTTTTCACATGATCATATACAGTGTGGTATCTGTGAACAGCTGATGTACTTATTTCTCCTCATGACAATTATTTTTCAGATAATGTGACCATGACACTATGGAAACTTGACAAGAGGAATAAATCAATTATGTAACATGAAGAGGGTAAACTTGGCTGAACAGAGAGCAAAATAACACTTTGTTTGAGAGCCTCCAAAATTGATGGCCATCTCTAGTTTAAAAAAAGAATAAAAATATGCCTGTGACAGGGAAGAGCAGCACACCCTTTGTGTCCCTTTTGTGAAATCTTCATTTTTTGTCTCAGTAAAAACAAGTTTCCAATTTTGGGGGAGGTTGTCAATGCTGAAATTTTCAAAGTGCTCTGTTCAGAAAGAAATCTAACAGAGGACAAAATTTATTAAGGTTGGCATTCCTATACTCATGCTTGGGAATTAGTCAAATTTAGAAAATGTTTTGTGCTGGGCTGTATGTTTCTTTATTTTACATGCTTACCAGAGTTCTCTGTTCTGTCATCATTAATTTAGAAGGTAGGAAACAAATCCTTCCAAAATGAGAAAAAAAGAAAGAGATGCATAGATTGTGGGTTAGATCCTTGTTCCTGTTCTGTATCAGGTCTGTGAATGAGTAAAAGTAAGGTTATTATCTCTTTGACAAAAAGGTTTGCTCAAAGTGATCTTAAGAATTTTTCAAGTCAAATTCTTTTGTTTTTTTCTTCTTGCTTTCAGAATCTGTTAGAAAGATTTAGAAAGTTGAAACAAAATAAAAGATAACAACTGAAACAAATTCCTAGAATTGGCTTTTTCTGTAGCACTGCATGTGCATTTTTCTTTCAAATAATGAGGACCAATTCTTTGCCTAAATACTCATCTATCAACATCATTTGATGAGTTACAGTGAAAAAGTCTGAACTGATTTTCTTGATAGGCATTGTGCATGAGATCCTGTAATTGTGGAAGGATCATACAATCACTTCTTTCCATATTTTTTTCAAAACTTATCAACATTCAGAAATATCGTTCTAAATCTGAATGAACACATAAAAGATTTAAAATTTAGGGGGGGAAAGAACAGAAAAAACCCTCAAGTCCAGGCAGAAGGTTTCGAATGCTTAGCTCTTAAAATTTAGATTTGATTTATGGTGCTGAATTAGAATTACTAGCTTTTTTTCATTTTGAGAGGCTCTTCATTTTCAACAGCTAGATGGCAGACAGTTCTCCTTGCTGAGGATATTTTTATCAGTGAAATTTGTCCAGTGCAGATTTGAGAATTTTGTTGCATTGCATTTCTTTACTTCTTTTTTTGCATGAACCTTAGAAAATTTGTGGGCTTGTTCACAAACACAATATAAAAAAACTTGTGGTTAAAAAAAATCAAAAACTAGGAGATTCTTCCTAGATATGACTGTTCAATTGATGGCACTTGATCACAGTGATTTGTATATATAAACTAACAGCCAGCATTTATCAAATGACCAATACCCACACACACATTCTATGTCAACTGGTCCTCTGGTCAGTCTATCTGAAAAATCCCAGAAGACATATATCAATACATAAATGTCTGACACACAAACATCCATAGCAATAATGTGTCACCTAACATTTGTTGAGGTAGAAGAGCTCTGGAAGTATAGTGTGCTTTTTCACTGGAACTTGTGTAAAACCAAGCATCTGTGCAGACATATAATTAAATGTGCTCGAGCTTTAAAGAAAGAGAGAAATAAAGTAAAAGATACCCATCATGTCAAGATTAATTAAGTGCTCTCACTCTTTTCCTATACCACCTCCAGTTTCTCTCTGACTTCAACTTCACTGTAACAGTTTCAAAACTCTCATCTTAGCTCTTTCTGTATCAATCTCAAACTAAAGCTTAACTAAACTCTACACACACACACACACACACACACACACACACACACACACACACACACACACACTGTGTGAGATAAATCTTTATATATACAATAGCATCTCTACAGCCAGACAGCATAACAGACCATCAGAATAAGGCTTTATCTACATACATTTCATCCTTCCAGTCAAAGTGTTGTCACTCATCATACATGTCCATAGATACATATATGCAGATATATGTACAGTGGTTCCTCGCTAGACAGTTATCCTACATGACAGTTTTTTCGCTAGACATTGACTTTTTGCGATCACTATAGTGATTTGCAAAACAGTGATTCCTATGGGGGAATTTTGCTGGACAATGTCTGGTCCCTGCTTCGCAAACCGATTTTCGCTAGACAACGATTCTGACAGCTCCCTCCGCGCTCGCAAAACGGGTGTGTTCAGGACCTAAGCTTCGCAAGACAACAATTTAAACAGCTGATTGGCAGTTTGCAAAGCAGCTTTCCTATGGCTGATATTTGCTAGACATTGATGATTCTTCCCCATTTACTATAAAGAACAACCACACAACTGGGTCTATGTTGTGATAGTTATCTCAGTCATTAAATTAGCTGGATGCATCTTTTGACAAATATGGGGTTTTACATTTCATCTAGGAACCTCTGTTTGTTATATCTGGTTCAGTGTAATAGCCAAAAGGATATTCTATTTGCTTCTTTACTGATTGCAATGATTATACAGAAGAGTTTTTTTCTTTTTGCCTGTCTTATATATAGAATTCATGATATATAGAATTCAAAATTTCTTTTTGCATGTCTTATATGAAGAAATTGAATGACGCTACGCTGAAGGCAGATGTCTTTTTATTTTCACAACTAATATAACATTTGTTGCCCCCAGTTATGGTTATGAGCACTGACTTAGATGTTTTAAAGGCAATTAGATACATTCATGGAAGACAGATCTACCAATGGATAGTGGCTTATTTGTTAAACACTTAGAGCAAAATCCTGTTGTGATAAACAACATCTGTAAGGGCCATCACACAATTGTTTTTCCCCTTTTCTCAGACTACCAATTATATGCCTGATTGTGCAACCAGTGGAAATGCAGGTGTGACAGGCAGACATGTGACAGACAGCCTCTACAGGCAAAGTATTCAGAGCAAAGGTTCCGAACCTTGGGTCCCCATGTTTTCTTGGAGTAAAACTCCCAGAAGCCTTCACTAGCTCTGGTGGCCAGGATTTTTGGGAGTTATAGCCCAAGAACATCTGGGGAGCCAAGGTTGGAACCCACTGATTTAGAGGAATATAGCCAACATTCTGCTTGCTCTGTCTTTGCCCTTCTTAACTGATAATGCCAAGCAGGGTGGGCTGGCTGGCTACAACTGGAAAATAACAATAACTCTCTGAAAGACAAAGTGCATTGATGGAAGAAGTTACAGAGGCTTTCCTAAAGAAAGCATCTCCTCATCCTTAAGAACTCCAGCTAACAGTCATGTGGCTTGTTAGTTGCCCAAGGCAGGAATTGAAAGCACTGTGTCTCCCTGGTTTCATTCCCATTTGGATGGGAATGTGCTGGGGGATTACCTCTGTACTACGTGTGGTGTATGCTGTACTGTGCTGGAATGTCTATTGTTGCCCCATCTACACGAAATTGCTCTGAAATCATACACTGTTTATGGTGAAGTGTTGTTAGCATGTTTATGATACTCAACCCAAGGGATGGGCTTTGGATTTGGAAATTATTTGGCATCTAAATTTAAGTGTGAGTATTTATCAGTTTCTGAACTAATCCATAATAAAATGGGGAAGCCCAAAGGAGTGCTCAGATTACATTCCGGCTTTCAGAAGCACAAAATAGTGTTTTGGTACTTTGAAGACAAAAAAGTAAAAAACCCAAACAACCACCACTCACTGAGAAAACAAAAGTAATATTGGAACAGAACCAGGAAATCGATACATTGACAACTGAAGCAACAATGAAGAGCCTAAGCTGTCCTGGAAACCTGAATCATGAAATTCCTGGCAACCAGAGAGCCCAAAGTAAAAGAAGGTTGATGGTTGATATTTCAAGCACCAATGAAAAACCTAAGCTCTCCTGGAAACCCCAGCAACAGAGCTTTGGGGAGGAATTCCTCTCCTTGATCAGTGACCATTTAAAGACATAGCATTATTTAAATTTTCAGGAAGTAGATTGCAGGTGCATTGAATAATTTTTGTTTTGTTTTGTTGTAAGCAGCTGCATGTCCTCTCAGTCCAATTGACTTATTTTATGGTTATGTGAAATGTATGCTGTTGTGCATTATTTAAGTGGTCTGGGTCACAGCAGCATTATGAAGACAATGAAAGCTACCTAAATTGCACAGTGAGCAAGAAAGGAGGGAAGAGAGGAATGAAACTGGTGAGGGGCTTGACTGCACATTTGAGGTCAAGCAGTAACTGATGGCACTGAGTTGTACACAGCACTATCCTCCACAGCTTTTAAATCAAAATACATACAAATACTTTTAAATATTTGGATCCAAATCAAATCAGATGGGCTACAAATCAGCTCAAAGCAAATAAATTATAA